GGATTTCAGCAGTTCCTGGGCAGTCCTGAGCTCTTCTTCCAACCGGACGTGCAAAACCATGTGCAAAGACCCACCCAAGTTGTGTCCAAACCCAACAACATCCAAATGAAACTTCCTCACTGCAGCTGGTTTCCCAACACCTCCTGACAGGAATGGGGCCTCCCTTTTGCTTCCCAAGAGATTTTTGGCTGGCACAGAGGTTTCTCACTGGTGCTTGAAGACCACACGAGGTGCGAAGGCTTCAGCCCTCACTCCCCCACCAACGTGGCCCCGGCTCAAATGCGATGCACTTTATTTCTGTCCAGATCTCCCACCTCACCCTGACACATTGAGTGGTTGTGAGATTAAATAAAGGTCTCATTTATTTAAATAAATCCCAGTGAAAAGCACAAATCCATTCACAAGATTTATGTTCGATGCAATCAGGCTTCAAGCCTGGGGATATGGAGGTGATAGTACTTTCCTGTGCAGCCTTTTAGATTAATCAGCTATAAAATACTGTGGGTTTAGCAGACAATTCTCTAGTGGTTGCATTGGCATTCACAGAAATCCTGGGTTCAGTCCCTCTTGCTGCTGGCAGTCTGATACAGGAGCTTTTGGGAAAATGTAGGATTCACATTCCTCTGTGAATCAGCTTTCCCTGTTCAGTTCCATCTGGGGCATCACTCAAGGGCTTCTTATATTCCCCTTCTCCAAAAATTTGAGCATAGCCAATGCTCTATATATTTGATCTCTGCTCTCTGGGGACCAGTGACAGTGCCCAGGGGAATGGCACGAAGTTGTGCCAGGGGAGGTTTACCTTGGATATTAGGGAAAGGTTCTTCCCCCAGAGGGTGGTTGGATACTGGAACAGGCTCCCCAGGAGTCCAGTGGTCATGGCCCCAAGGCTGCCAGAGCTCAGAGAGTGTTTGGACAATGCTCTCAGGCACATAGTGGGATTTAGGGTTTGTCTTGTTTAGGGCCAGGAGTTGGACTCGATGATCCTTGTGGGTCCCTTCCAACTCAGAATATTCTGTGATTCTGTGATTCTATGGAATATGATTTGCACCAATTCCCAGCATGTTTAATGCCCTGAGGACCTGCATGGGGCTCTCCCAGGGAGCCAGAAGCAGGGGCAGGCAGTGACAGCCAGCCTGTGCCCACCAACCCGCCTCTGTGGCTTCAGCCCCCTGGCAAGGCTCGGGATGGCTCCAGGGGGCTGGGAAAGGGCAGCACTGCCTGGCAGTGCTCCCATAGTCCCACCCTGCCAGCAGTGGTCAAAGAGACTCCCAAAATCACCCTCTGGCTTTGCTGCCAAGACTGGTGGAGGTGCCTCAGGACGAAATGGGCCCAGCACTCAGCAAGGGCAAGGCACGAGGAAGCAGAGACAAGGCACTGTCAAAAGAGACACTAATTAGTGGTAATTGCAAGTAATCAGCCAAACCTAAGAGCATGAGGGAACCCTGTCCTGGCACAGCAGATAGCTCTGGCTGGAGTGAGGAGGGAATGTGCTTGGCAGGTCGTGGTGGGAGAACCCCATAGATGGGGACCCCATTGCCTCCCCTCTTCCCCTATCCCACCCAGACAGAAGTGCCCAGGTGCTGCAGCAGGCATGTGACTCCTCACAAGCTGCTGTCCCTTGTCCCCTGGAAGCAACTCCCAAGGACAGAGGGGTTCATGTCACAGATCTTGGGAAATCCTGCTGCAAAGCCTGGGATGGGCCACTGGCTGCCCTGAAGGCTGGAGAATCACTGGGAAGATGATCCTAGGACATGCTGGAAGATGTCACATGGCAAAGCAAGCCTTGATCCTGTCCTCCCAACACCCTGGGCCAACCCAAGTGAGATTCTCAGGCTGCTCCTGTGAGGCTTTGGGGCCCCTCTTCTCCCAGTGGGGTTAAACCCATTTTCTTTAGGTATTTCTAGGAGTCAATAGCATTTCCAACAAAGCACGAGCTTTCTGTTATCTGCAACCAGCTTTTCCTCTCTAGAGACCACCATCCTTCAGTTCTCCATCCCCTACACCTGCAGCACTTCCACCTTTTGCTGGTTAGGCCCCAGGATGCTCATGAAGCTCTTTGTGCTCAGAGCAGGTCTCCAAGGATGGCCCAAGACCTGCAGCTGCACCGTGACTCTGGAGAAGCCATTACCTCCAACAACCTACCCTGAGCTTGCTCTCAACACCAGGATGGAAGTTCTTCCCTTCCGTCCTAATAACCTGATTCTCCACCTGCAGTCCGTGGCTGCCCTCACACCGTCAGTCCATGGCAGCCTCCATCCACAGGCTTTACTTGGCACCCAGATCCTGCACAGTCCTTTCCTTACCCATTCCCTGCAATTTCTCCCAGAAGACATAATATTTCTATCCCTGCCCAGCTCTGGATTATGAAGCAGGGCATGGATGCACCAGGGGAGCAGCACAGCAGGTGCTGGGCCAGGATCCCGGGGCTGTAACCCTTGTTCACGATGAGGAGCAGACAGGACATACCCACAGGGAGCAGGCTGGGGTGTGAGCAGTGTCCTGTCCCCTGTGCCAAGCCCTGTGGGTACCACACAGGCCAGGGTCTGGTGATGCTCTGCTCACCTCGCTGGACTAGGCAGGGTGGGGACCCTCAGAAGCCTGGAGAGTTCAATCCTCTGTGTCCTGCTCGTAAACTCCCCTTCATGCATGACTTCTCAAACGCCTTTTGAGTGCTTTCCTTTGCTCTCTGTGCCAGCAATGACTCAGGCTTGGATGTGCATTGTCAGGCAATCCAGAGCTGGCCTCGCTAGGAACCATTTGTTCTGCAAGAGCAATATTTAAGTGCCCTCTGGTGGTAGTTCCCTGTGCTGTTGTTGGGATTTCCCCCTTCTCCCTTCTGTCCAACATCCGCCTAGGATCTTCACTGGGGCATCTGTGCCGGCGGCAGGGCGGTCCCTGCTCCGCCAGACCCTCCCCCTGCACTCCCGGGCGCTTCCCATCCCGCTTCACTGCCAGGTTCTGCAGCAGAACCCTCAGCGTGTCCCTGATTCCATCCGTGCTGCAGGCCAGGACAGCCCCGGAGCTGAGCACTTGGCCTAGTTTGCTGCCCACGTGTCAGCTCATCCGTCCTCCCCGGCCCCATCCGGCAGCAGAGCCGCCTCGGCTGAGGATGCTCCGAGTGGGATCTCTCACAGCCCCCGTCCTTCCCCACCAACGTTTGTATGTCAGCCAATTTTAGCAAAAATTGGGATGTGTGAGGTATCAGGGTGATTCAGTTTCCCTTGTGCTGCGTGAAAAGTGGGGGCCAGGCAGCAGAACGACCCCTCAAGCTGCTCCCCCAGCGTGGAAGGGCTGCAGTGACAGTTCAGCCACGGTACGAGCCCTCAGAGACACCACAGGAAACCAGGTTTTATAACACTGCTTCTCCTGAAACTCCTTCTGCAACTCGCTGCTCTATTTAATTGCTGTAAAATACCTTACAGTGCAGTTATGTTTTCTTCAGGAGAAAAAGCATCTGAGATTCCTGCACAGCAGCTTTGACCACGGGGGGGGGGGACGGACGACAAATGGGATATGACAGAAAACATGTGCCATGCCCACAGCTGGATCAAAATCCAGCCTGACCACTTCCTAAAGCATGAAATAGGCATATTTAACCACAAGATTAAATATTTAGGCATATTTAACCACCCGGCTTCCCCGTCAAGGGACATGTCTACACTGGGCCTTTCTACTCTTCTCTGTAAGAGGGACAGAAACAGGAACTGCAAAGTAAAAGTGAGTCTAAGGGGGAACATGCCCCAGGTCTGGGATCTCCCGGACCCTGGACAGATGTTGGAGGTGTGCTGGTGGGATACAGCATTCCAGGGTGTCCCTGCTGCCCCAGGGAGCCACATAGAGCAACCCACCAGCCCCTGCACTCACCACCACGTGTGGGCTGCCCACGTTTGAACTGCATGATCCAAGCCCTTGTGTGCATCCCTGCTCTCTCACACCAATCCCTACAGGAAATGTTTCCCCCCCCAGTCCCAGGGGTCACCTAAGCCACTGCTCAGGAAGGGACAGAGCTGTCACCTGTGGGTCACACTTCACTGTGGGTTGGTTTGACAGCAAAAGGAGGAGTGACCCTTCCCACCTGGCTCTGCTCTGCCAGGAGCTTTCATTCTGCAGGGAGGACTTGGCCACCTGAAAGCCTCATAAATTAGGGGCAAGGCTGACAATGCTTCATTTCTGTGTGCACTGCTCCTGGCAGTCAGATGAGATGCTCACATGAGATGTGTGTATGTGTGAAGCACCAGTCCAGGGCTGTGAAATAAAGAGCCCAAAGCTGACCTCTTTAATTTGTCTTTCAGGCAGCTCGACAAACAGTCTGCGTCCCACAGGAGCAGCTCAGCTCACAGCAGTTCTGAAAATTCAAAGGAACTGTGTAGCTGTTTAAATATAGGCTAAAGCAGATATTTAAGTGCTTATCATTTCTCCTGGCCCATACAATAAATCTGCTTATCCTGCAAACTGTCCTGTGCTTACCTTGCTCTTCACTGGGTGGGCTCAGTCCCAGTGTTCTTGTCCAAGTGCCAGGAGACAGGACACGCCTGTGCCCATATGGTGAGTGCTCATAGTGTGACAGAAGAAATGCACATGTGTGTCCTGTTCCAGCACCAAACCCATCAAACTGAGCAACTCTGTGACTGTCCCACCTCCAGGGACAGTTGGGGACCTCTGTAGGTTCTCTGTCCACAGCTGGCAGCTCCTGCTCCAGCCCACCTTGTCCTGCCTGCCCCAAAACTCGCCCTGGCATTTCTGTGCCAAGTCATGGAATCACACATCTGCTGGTTGGGTTAACAGGGACCTCTGCAGGTCACCTGGGCTGACCCCACTCAACCAGAGCCCATTGGTCACGATTTTGTCCAGGTGACCTTGAAAACCTCTGAGAATGGAGATTCCACAACTCCCTGGGCAACCTGTGCCAGTTCTCAGTCTCCTCCAAATTTTTCCTTGTGTTCAGAGGGACTCTCCCATGTTTCCATTTGTGCCCATCATCTCTTGTCATGTCACTGGGCACCACTGGAAAGAGCCTGGATCCTTCCTCTTTCCACCCTCCCTTCAGGTATTTATACACATGGATAAGGTCCCCCTGAGCCTTCCCTTCTCCAGGCTGGACAGTCCCAGGTCTCAGCCTTTCCTTATGAGAGGTGCTCCAGTCCCTTCATGCTCTCTGTGGCTCTTCACTGGCCTCTCTCCAGTATGTCCATGTCTCTCTCTGTGCTGGGAAGCCCAGCACTGGACACACAACTCCAGGTGTGGCCTTCCACATGGGGAAGCCACACTGACTGACTCTTCCTGATGATTTTCTGATTCTTCCTGTGCCTGGACATGGTTTCCAGGATTAGCTGCTCCCATTCCAGGGATGGAAGTGAGGCTGACTAGCCTGTAGTTCCCTGGATCTTTCTTCTTGCTCTTCTTAAAGATAGGAGTGACATTTGCTTTTCTTCAGACTTTGGGTACTTCTCCCAGTTGCCATAATGGATCAAAGATTATGAAGAGTGGCCTTGAAAATGCATTTTCCAGCTCTCTCAGCACCCATGGGTGCATCCCATCAGGGTTTGTGGACTTACATATGTTTATTCCCTGACCTGACTGATCTTCTTCCACCAAGGCCTTGCTCCAGATTTTCCCCTTGCTCTCTGGGACCTGCCACTCCTAAAGGTCAGTCATGCCAGTAAAGGTGAAGGTGATGAATGCATTCAGTAATTCAGCCCCTGTAACCATGTCTGTATAACCAGGCCCCTCTTTCCTTCAGCCATGGGCCTGTATTTTCCCCAGCCTTCATTCTGTCACCTACATACCTACAGAAGCCCTTTCAGCCACTTTTCACATCCCATAGCAGAGTCATTGTCTTTACCTTGCCTAACCTCATTCCATGCTTGGACAGTATCCCTGTATTCCTCCAGGTCTACCTATCCTTGTTTTCACTTTCTGTGTGTTTGCTTTTTGTGTTTGAGTTTTGCCAGGAGCTCCTTGTTCACCCACACAGGCCTCCTGGCATTTGTGCCTGATTTCCTGCTTGTCAGGACAGAGCACTCTGGAGGCTGGAGGAGGTGATCCTTGAACATCCACCAGCTCTCCTGTGCCTGTCTTCTCTCCAGGGTTTTATCCCATGGCACTCTTCCAAGCAGACCAATGAAGAGGCCAAAGTCTGCTCTCCCGAAGTCCAGAGCTGTGCTCTTGCTTTTCATCCTCTTCCTTCCCTTCAGGATCCTGAAGTCTACAGTCCCTGCCTCACCCTGTCCTGACCTTCAGGATGAGGCACCTGAGGCTCCAGTCTCCACTGGTACTCAGCAGCCAGACAGGGTGTTTTTATCCCAAACCTGTCCAACCAGCTGTGGACCCTCCGTGTTTTCTCCTCCTGGAGCCGAACAGCAGCTGTTTTCAGGCATCTCACCCTGTGCTGACCAGGACTGAGTCTTCCCATGTGTCAAATAAGCAGAAGAGACCAAGCATCTCCACCCTGCTTCTCCCTCTACTGTGTCCTGTTGCCGTGTCTGCCACTGCCCAGCTTGGCTCTGGCTCTGCAGAAGGGCATGATCCAAAGTGGGCACCACTGAGCTGCTCACAAACGGGGGGTGCCCCTAAAAGCAGCAGGTTGGTGTTGCCCTGCAGACAAAGCTATGAAGAGCCCTCGTGGAGCACGTCCTTGGGATCTCAGGATGTCATGAGGCAGACTGGGATTAATCTGATTTGCACACTGGGGTGCAGCACTGCACAGCCCATCTCACAGCCTCCCCAGCAGTTCTGCCGCTCTGGGACAGGCCCTTCTCTGGGGACAAGGACACAAACCCTGTTTGAGAGGGTGCAAACCCCTCGTAAAGGGTGTCAGGTGTGTAACTGCTCTTCGACCCTGCAATTCCTGGCAAGCACCAAAGCTCAGCAACCTCCTTCAAAGGACATTCCCAAGGCTCCAACAGCCACGCCTGGGGAAGCTCCCGGGTTCCCAGGGCCCCGAGCCAGGCTGTGGCCTCAGACTGGTGTGGCTGTTCCCATCCCTGCCCAGAGCCACTGCCCCCAGCACTGCAGGGGTGCAGACCACTGGTGGCTGTCCATGTGGGGCACAACTGTCACCACACAGTGACTGGGGACAGTCCCACCAGGCAGCAGCTGGCATTAAGGGACAGGAGACTGTCCCCATCCCCCAGAAGCCAGAGCGCTCTGGTCACTGGCCTCTCTGGTGATGTGACCTTCCCAAGGGATGAGTTAAGGTATTTGGGAATAGCCATGCTGCATATTAACTAGTACTGAGGGACTTTCCCCACTGGGGTTAAAGCTGCTGTGATGCCACCACCAGCACAGTGTCTCTGGTGACAGAGGGGACTAACCAGCATTTGCTCCTTCATGTGGTCTTAATGATGGAGATACAAGCCAGGCTGCAACAAGGGCTCAGGTCTAGCACACCTGGGAGTCCTGGGACAGAAAGGACTAATAACACCTTGGACTGGCAATAGTGAAGCCTGATGGCTGCCCAGGAGCATTAGGGCACAGAAAAATGACACTTGTGCTGTTGGCTCCTTCCTGGTGTTGTGTCCTGTTGCTTTGGGGACAGTGACAGTGCAGGAGAGTGGTCACAACAAACAGGGTTCTGCTTCCCAACAGCAGCAGCAGCATCTGTCTGGTCTCCACCTTGGAACATCTCTGTGTTTAATTAAAATAATTAAAAACACTTAAATCCAAGCAGAAGAGGGTTGTTCAGAGCCCACAGGAGAGAGCTGGCTGATACCTGCTGCTGGCTGGGGAGGGTGAGGAGCAGCTTTCCTCTGCCCTGGTCCCGGGCTGGGTGGCACAGCTGTGTCTCTGCACTGGGGTGGAGATGAGGATTTGAATCCCCAGGGCTCTGGTTTTGCAGAGGTTCTTGTGCAGTTGCTGAGCTGGGAGTGAAGCCAAGCCCGACGGATGCACTCGGAGTCCCCGTGTCCGAGCCCTGCCGAGCCCCCTGGGAGCTGCTGGCCTTTCCTCCTGGTGCTGGAGCAGCTTCAGAAAGAGGGGACAGAAGTCAGAAATCTCTGTGGCACCATGTGGACTGGAGAGCTGCAATCAGCCTCCCACCAGACTTGCTGATACCCGATGTTATTTTGAGGCCATAAAGATTATATATGTGCTCATTCCCCACGGAGCTCCTTTGCTCAGTGCTTTACACTCCTGCAAAACAGAATGTGCCTTTCTGGAAAGACAAAATAAAGCTAATGGAAGACAACCAAAAGATTGACTTTTGCTTTCCAGGACTCCAGCAATCCAAGGGTGATGCACCTTCCTTGGTTGCTGCACTCGGCTGAGGTTTTCTCCAGCAAGGTGCTGAGGGTGGGATAGCTGAGGAGGGGACATTCATGGGACCCCTGTCACTGCCAGGGCCTCCTTCCCTGTGTGCCCTTTCTGCCCAGGCTACTTGCATCACTTGGGTTCCATGTCAGGGCCCAACTCCACTGTCCCACATCCCCAGGTTTTCCCGTGGTTTCATCTGCTCTCCCCACGTGTCCATCCCAAAGCACCCACGCTGTCACCTGCTGCTTTTCCTTCCTCCTTTGATTGTTAAGCTGTTTTTACATCACCTACCACTTCTTCCATTTCCATGTGTTTTCTGCCATGGAGCAATGTCTCACAATCCAGCCTAAGGAGCCGTCGTAATTCCGGAGAAACGCAACGCTCCTGGAAAGGAGCTGGAAAACCCACTGTTATTTTCTTTCCTAATTGCAATTTCAGTGACTCATCCCTGGTGCCACACTGCAGTGCACAGCCATTGTGTGGATTTTTACCCAATCTTGAGCAGTCACAATTCACTGCTCAAGTTTTCAGGCCACCCAAGCCATTAGGAAAATAAATGTAAAATAAAAACCCGCTGGTGCTGTTGGCTGGTGGAGCAGCACAGCCCCTCGGGACAGCAGCAGAAGAGAAAGGCATTCAGTGCTCTCCAAGGCTGCTGTGCCCAATGTGGCTGAGCTGCTGCCTGAACATGTGCTCTTTGAACACGAGCTGACTCCTCCTTTCCCCTATCCCATCCTCTTCCTCTCTCCAGCTCTATCTCAGCCCCATTCCTCAGCCCTATCAAGCTATATAGGCTCTATCTCCGCCCTATTCTTTCCCCTCCCCACCTCTATCCCACTCCCTTCCCCTTTACTCCTCATCTTTATCCCACTCCCTATCTTAGCTCATCCCCTTCCCCATCCCATTTAATAAACCCCACCTCTATCCCCATCCCACCCATGTCATCCCCACCCCATTCACATCCTCATCCCTATCCCTATCCCCATCCCATACCCATTCCTATATGCATATCCATACTCATCCCCATTCCCTCCCCACCCTACCCCTATCCTCCTGTTTGTACAGGTCCCCAAAGCCTTCCCCAACCTCCCCACAACCACCCACTCCACTGGGAGAGGTTTCTGGGGACACCTCCTGGCAGGATGGGCAGTTCCTGCAGGAGCAGTTGGAGGGATGCCCTGGGACATGGGCTGGAGCTCACTCCCCTTCAAGCCTGTGTCTGTCACAGGGGCCAAAGGCATTCCTTGGAGCACTCAGCCCTGTCCCTGCCTGTGCTGCTGATTCACTGTTCAAGGTTCTGCTGGACTGTTTGTACCAGGATACACAATCCTGGTTTTGCCAGGACCATTCCCCAGCTCTTCTCCCTCTCTCCCAGTCAAGGTGGAAAGATTCTGACGTTGGCCATGAACTGGCAGGACAGCACTGGGACACACCCTGCTACTCCAGATGTCCAAACTCAGTTCCAGGGCACCAAAGCCTTTTGTCAACCAACACAACCTCCAGGGAAGAGCTGACCATGTTTGTCTACCCCGTGCCTGGAGAGCTGACCAGCTCCTGGCACTTGGCTGAGCGTGGCTGGACCAACCTTGCTGAGCAAGGCCAACCTCTGCTGCAATGAACTGAATTCCAACGGGCTTCCAGAACCAGGCAATGGGGGCTTGGTGGGGATGGGCAGCTGGAGAGGAGCCCAGCCTGCCCCGAGCTGCTGTGAGGGACACAGGGAGCTGCTGTGAGGGACACAGGGAGCTGCTGTGCATCTCCAAAGCCCACACTGGCCACTCACACTGTTGCCACAGCATGATGTTACCAAGATGAACATTGTGCAGCTCAAGTTGTCATCAGGTTCAGCACTGGTTGGGATAAATCTGAGCCAGTTGAGGACTCATTGTCACCTTCCAGTACTTAAAGGGGCTTATAGAAAAAGAGGGAGAGTAACTTTTTACACAGACACATAGTGACAGGACAAGGGGGAATGGTTTTAAACTAAAAGAGAAGAAGTTTAGATGAGGTACTAGGAAAAAATTCTTCCCTGTGAGGGTAGTGAGGCCCTGGCACAGGTTGCCCAGAGAAGCTGTGGCTGCCCCATCCCTGGAAGTGTCCAAGGCCAGGTTGGACAGGGCTTGGAGCAATCTGGGCTAGTGGAAGGTGTCCCTGCCCGTGGCAGGGGGTTGGAACGAGATGAGCTTTAAGGTTCCTTCCAACCCGAAACATTCCATGATTCTATGATTTCATTTCAGCAACACATTCCCTGGCTCTGTCACAGAGCATGCTGGAAAGGAGAACCAAGCTGGCAAACTGTGCCACTATCTCTGGAGCAGGACTAGTGGGAGCAAAGGGGCTTCCTGAGCCAGGCTGGGAAATGTGGCCAAAACTGGTGTTACAGGACCCAGCCACAGGCTCAGCAGCCCTCCTGTTGCAGTGGTGCAGGGGCAGGCACAGCTGGCTTTGCTCCTGGGGCTGAGGGGTGGGAGCAGAGCCCTCACTGGCAGCTCACCTGGCCGAGCAGTGCACAGACACAAACCCTCCCTGCTCCCTCACACAGCCCCTGTTTGCACCCTGGGAAACTGCAGCACCAAAGGGGAGCTGAGGTGAGGATTTGGAGCAGAGCAGGGTGGAGAAGGGGGAGCCCAGCTTGTGGCCCTGCTCACCCAAACCTCCAAAACACCTGTGAGCAGTGAGTGCAGCAGCAGCAGGGCAGGAAGGGCTGAGCCACCCAGGCCCCCACGGATATTCATAACTGTGTCATTAGAGGGTGCCAGTGCATTGCTGCACAACAGGCCTGTCCCCTCACCTGTCCCAGGAGGGGTCCTGGGCTGCAGGATGCAGATCTAAATTCCTTCTTGGGAAGCTCAAATGCCAGAGCCCACCCGGGTGTGGAGCCACAGGAGGGGAGCAGCAGATGCAAAGGGTGTCTGTGAGGGGAACCCAGTACAACACAGGGATTCTACAGGGCTGTGCACCAAGTGGGGCTGTGGAGTGGCTCCAGTGCCTCTTGTAGAGCTTGCTCAGCCTCATCCATGCTCAGACACCTTCCATTGTCCCACCCAGCAGGGCAGAGAGCAGCTAAAACCACCTGACACAGCCCTGCAGCCCTCCCCAAGCTCTCTCATGGCATTGCCAGCTGGGTGAGCCCCACAAACCAACCAAAAGGCTTAACCCAAGCTCTCCTTGTGTTAGGGGCTCCAGGACATCACAAACACACGTCCCACAACAGAGGAGCCAGGGTTTGCTTTCTTTGTGAAGGTGCTTTAATATCAGGATGCCATTGGGAGGCGACTCCAGAGCTCCCAGCAGACACAAGTCTGCACTAAAACCCCTGGAAGAACAATCTATGGGCTCCAAAACCTATTCTGATGAGCTGGAGAGCCTGGCATGCTGTGTGAGGTAGTGAGGGGCACTCAGGCCAGGGCTGGGGATCCTGGGGCCACATCAGCCTGGTTGTGCCAGTCCATGGAAGTCTGTGACTGTGACCCCAACACCTGGAAAGCCTCCTGCCTGCCACCAAAATGGAAAATGTTGTCCCTGTCTCCACTTACTGAACTACAGCACCTTGGAGGGACTTCAGTGCAAATCACCACCCCAGGACCCTTTGCTGCAGGGGACAATCCTTCAGCATAAAGCAGAGATCTCAGCTGCTGTTTTTGACTCCAGCTCATGGACCCTCTGTCCCTGCACAAGCTCAAGGACTCGAGAGTTGTCCCACTGAACCAGGTGGGACAAGGAGCTGTACAGAACAGGAGAGCCCTGGGAGGGATAAAGCATCCCAGCAGAGAAAAACACAGGTGCAAGAAGAGGGAACAGAGCTGCATAAGCCAGCTTTCCCAGGCAGGAAAGCTCCCAGTCCTGTGTCAGCTGTGGGACTGGGCACCCTGAGAGGCCTGGGAACCACGGGGTCCCACCCAGGGGGAGCCACGAGCAGGGAGAGGAACTCCCACTGTAGGTCCATTCCCAATCTGCTATTTGGAGAGGGGAGGCCAGGCAGCCTGGCCAAGCAACTGGGCTCAGTGGAGTTTTCTCAGGAAGCTGCTGATCCCTCTGGAACAGGCTCCCAGAGCCCAGGTCAGCTCCTCCACACCTACACAGGCTCAGCTGGCAGTGAAGGTCGTTCAGATGGAGCCTTTCCTACAACAGAGAGTTTCCCCAGGCTCAGCTGCTACTCACAGTACATCCCAGAGTGATTTCAGCCTTCACCTCCCTCCATCACCTTTCTGTGCCCAAGTTTTAAGCAGCAGGAGGTTTTCCCTGCTGGAGCTGTGTGGCAACACAGCAGTGATGCTGCTCCCACCAGAAAAGGGGAATTCAAGCACAGAAGCTGCTGTGCCATGTCCCTCCAGCACAGAAGAGGCTGAAATGACATTGATCCCAATGCTGGGAGGTGGAAAGCCAGTGCTGGAAGCAATCCTAAACACACACAAAGACAGACATGAGCTTTTCCTGGGCCCTCGAGCTGCTAAATTGCTGCTGAGGCACCTGGAAGTGAGGTCAGTCCACAGGAATAGGGAGGAATAGAGGAGCTGGCTGAGAAGGGGCTGGCATAGCCCTTGATTGATGGGGAGAGATGCCTTCATGCTGTCCCATGGGATATACAACATGTAAATGGGATTTGCAAGTGCAAGGGAAGGGCCCTGCCAGCAGTCAGGTACAATTCCATGAGGGTCCAATTTCAGCAGGTCTCGTGGGGCAGTGCTGACAGAAGGGCTGAAGGCAGATCCTGTGGGTTTCCCGTGAAGTTTGGGATTGCTTGAGTCCAAATCCATTGGTTGGTGACAGGGAGCTTCCAACATCAGTCATGGGGTGTGAGGCAACTCACACAAGCCATGTTTAGAGCCCTGGGGCAGAGGTCTGTTCTCCAGGAATGTGCCATTGCCAGTTCCTCCAGGACTAGGGACAAAACCCATGATCATTCCAGCAAAACACTGAACAAAATCAAGGCCCAGAGAGAACTGCTGCTGAACAGCCTCATACCCTGGTAACAGTGGAATATCTCCCCTCAGAACTGGGGGTGTCTCAGGGAAACCCCAGCTCAGGATTCACTCTGAGAGTGTTGAGCTGGAGGGCTTAGGAGAGTTGTTCCTTTCCTCTCCTGCCCATTGGGTCACACCACTGTGTGAATAGTGATGAATTTTAGGCTTAATTATTTAGGATCTTGCAAAGCAATCAACATTCTCAGGAAAAAATGCTTTGTGGGAAGCAAAAGACACTGCTGTGAGAGTGCCAATATTATTGCCTTCCCTCTAGTGCTCTTCCATCTGCTTTGCAGGAGCCAAGGGCTCCTGGATACCACAGGGTACCTGCAGCTGGATGCTGTGAAGGGTCAGAGAATCATGGAATGGTTTGGGTTGGAAGGAACTTTGAAGATCATTTCATTCCACCCCCTGTCATGGTGAGGGACACCTTCCACTATCCCAGGCTGCTCCAAGCCCCATCCAACTTGGCCTTGGACACTCCCAGGGATGGGGCAGCCACAGCTTCTCTGGGCAACCTGTGCCAGGGCCTCACCACCCCCACAGGGAGGAATTTTTTCCTAATATCTAAATCTAAACCTACTCTCAATGTGAACCCATTCCCCCCCCCCCCGTCTTGTCACTACACGCTCTTGTAAATAGTCTTGCTCCCTCTTTCCTGTAAGGAAGTTCCTGTGAGGATGGTGGTTTGCCTTCTGACAGCAGAAAACTGCAACCACCAAGATATAATTTCCCCTGTGCAACCTCATCTCTCCCCCTCCCCAGCCATCCAGCAGGACCCTGGTAAAACCCACACGCTGCGGGCTGAGCTCCTGTGCTCAGCCTCCTCCTGCCCCAGCTCCCCTCCCCAGCCCCCCTTGGGCTCTGAGCGCTGCATCCACACGGACACGTGGCCATCCTCCCTCACATCCCACCCTGCAGGGCCAGCAGCTGACCCACCCAGGCCACCACAAGCACTGCCAGGCCTCCTGGCCGTGCAGGTCCATCCCTCTGAAGCAGGGTTGTGTCCAACCCCTGCCCCTCGCTCCTGCAGTTGAAGGAGGCAGCAGGGTCTGCTCGAGGGTCCAGACCAGCTGGGCTAATTCTGAGGTTGATTTACTGCTTTGAAGCTGTTTTGCACCAGTTCAGCTAAGCAGGTCCTGTTTGTGGTAAGAGCAGTGCTGGTCTGCCCTAACACCCCCCAAACACCTCCTCCTGCAGCCTCTCAGCTGTACAGGGGCCATCATCAGAGCAGTGATCCTGAGGGATGATGAAAATCCTGGGCCTTTGGAGGGCTGGATCTGCATGGTCCTGCCATGACAGCCTGGATCTCAGCAAGAACAGGTCACCCCATCTGTGAGGCCCCCCTTAAAGCAGAACATCTCGGGGACAATCCCTCTTGCAGGCAGGATGGCACTTGCTGCCTGTCCCCCCAGCAGCCAGTGTGTTCTGCAGGGAATCACACCATGGGCACCCAAATACACAGGGCTGTAAATCCCTTGTCCCACAGTGAATTCTCCTGGATATCTGGCTGGGAGCTGCTCTGGCTCTGCAAAGATCACTCCCAGACCCTTCCCGTGTATTGTCCACTCCTTTGCATCCCAGGCTGGCACTTCTGCTGCTCTCCACATCTCCCCACGGTCCCACACAGCCAGCAGGACTCTTGGGCATTGCCCAGGGCTCCTGGAGAAAACCCCAAACACAGGTCAGATCTCCTCAGCCCACGAACCTGCCAAGCCTCCATCAATTCTTCTGCTCAACCACAGTCAGGCCAGCCCAGGAATGATGGGTTGTTGGCTTATTGCTGGGGCTGTCTTGGTTTCCCTTGGCTTAAACATCTTGGCAAGGGTTAACCCCAGCCAACCCCCAAGCCTCTTGCAGCCCTCACTCACTCCTCCACCAGCAGGATCGGGGAGAGGACTGGAAGGATAAAAGCTGAAAAGCTTGTGGGTTGAGACAAAGACAGTTTAATGGGGGAAGCAAAGGCCTCATACGATAGCAAAACAAAACAAGGACTGAATTCCCTGCTTCCCATGGGCAGGCAGGTGTTCAGCCACCTCCAGGAGAACAGGATCATATCACATGTAACGGTGACTTGGGAAGACAAAGCCATCACTCCAAGTATCCCTCCCTTCCTCCTTCCTCCCCCCTTTTTATATACTGAGGATGATGACTCCTGGTCTGGAATATCCCTTGGGTCAGTTGGGGTCACCAGTCCCAGCTGTGTCTCCCCATGCACCCCCAAATCCCTTGCCAGAGTGGCAGGAGGGGAAGCAGAAAAGGCCTTGGCTCTGTGTAAGCCCTGCTCAGCAATAACAGAAATATCTTTACATTATCACCCCTGTGACCAGCACAAATCCAACACACTCCATACTAGTGAAGAAAATTAACTCTGCCCCAGCCAAACCCGGAATGTCTCAGCCTCAGCTCCTGCAGGGCACTCAGGGGGGTCACGGGTGTTTCCTTATCATGGCCCTCAGCTCTCATGGCTGCAGGAGCAACAGAGCAAACCAATCCCTTCAGAGCAACGGGGGTTTGTCTGCCTGAACCCCACAGTGGCAGTCCTTGGGGATGCACCAGCTAGAGAGGGAGCACAGGTGCCCTTTGGACTCAATCCTGGCTCTGCTGCAGGCTTTATCCTATATGGAAAATGTCATCCTTTCAACAGCCCTCAGCCTCGAGTTTCTTCACCTCCTTTACAAATGGAGGCGAGTTGAAACTCAAACTGTTGGGGTGTCCTGTGTCCAAGCTTTTCTTGCAGGTAGGAAAACAGAGATGCAGCAAATTATCTACTTCTACCAGCCACACTGGAGGGCAGGGAGAAATGGATTTGAGATCCAGTCCAAGCTCCTCTTACCCTGGTATAGCAGGAGGAGAGCTACAGCTCTGGCTTCCCTTGCAGGCACCTTCACAAGGGGGTCCTTGAGCCTCGGACCTTGCCAGGTGATCTGTTCTCTTTCCATGAGTGATCAGCCTGGCTTTTGATAATTTCACATACCCAAACAGAACAGCCTTCCTATCTTATCTTCCAGCATAAATCTTGCTTTACTAAGTGGGAGTGAGAGACCAAAGGACACTGAGGGTGATGGAGAGCAGAGACCCAAGTGTGCAGAGACACCCAGCACCAGGCAGCAGCTTGGGAAGGAGGCAGAGCCCTGGGACCTGCAAGCAGAAGAGCAGATCAGCTTCAGGACTGTCCTGCATGAGGCCAGGGCACAGTGAGCAATGTGACAGCTTTCTGCACTGCTCCCAGCCCCGTGAAGAGGAGAAGGCAGAGAGGGTAATGCTGCCACTAACACTATTTCACCACCAGGCAGGACGACTGAGAAAAGGAGCAGTTGGAGAGTTTCATAAGTCAGCAGGAGGCTCACCAGAACCCATCCTGAGTAAGGACGGGTGGACAACCAACACTTCTCTCTCACAGAGCCAGTTTTCAGAGTGCAGGGCTTAGGTTCAGCCAGATGAGGCTGCAGGATAGGAGGGGACATTGGATCTGTTCAACAGCATCGTGCCTGGAGGCTGTGATTCAGGCTGGACCAGCAGTGACCCACTTCACACATGGGCTGCTGCTGCTTCCCTGCTCACAGACCATGGTTTGCCATCAGGAGTACCAGCCCCATCCACTCCAGATCCAGCAGCTTTCATTTGATTCAGATCAGACACCCAGGCACAGCTCCTGGCAGGGCAGACCAAGGCCTGCTTCCAAAGCCATCTGTGTCTCTGACAGAAAGCATGGATTGTAACCTTTAGACTGCTAATTTGTGTGAAGCAGGTCGGAAAAATTTCTTGATAGTACAGGTGATGGGTAAGAAAGACCTTTGTCCCAGGTAGGGCTTGGGATTTCAGCACACAGAGTGCAGATCCATGGACTTTATCCTCCCAGGTGGCACTTTCCTCTTGAGGTGTTATATCAACCCTGGATCTGCCCACAGGGGCCTAAACAGTGTTTTTGTGGAGGCACTGGCATGTAGTAGGCAGGAAAGTGCAGGCTGGTGGGAGTGTGGGGGTGGAGCAGGATCTCTTCAGCTGGGTCTGTCACAGAGACAAGGACAAGGACATCTCCTCCCTGATCCCTTCTGCCCTGGAGACACCTCCACCAAAAACAATCCCCAGCAAAGCTGCCCTGCCTGGCCCTGCCTGCAACCCACAGTCCCACAGAACCCTCTTGCAAGACAATGGGGTTATTTCACAAGGCTTTTGCAACGGGCTTAACCAAACTACTGTGTGGAAAGAGGTGTGAAACCAGCAGGAATGGGGGCAAGTGGCCACAGTGAGTCCTCTGGGCAACGGCCTTGCCCTCTGCTGTTCCCTGTCTCACCATTCACCTGCTCTCCACAGCCTGGGTAGGTCCAGCTCCTGCATTCGTCCTCTGCAAGGTCAACTCCTTCCTGTGGCTGGTGGTGTTCAGGCAATCGTGAAAAAGTAAACACCAAAGACAAAAGCTTTTATTGTGGAGCTGCCGAGTTTGGCTGCCGTGGGGAGGGCTGGGGGGAGATAAATATTGCTAAACCAGAGTTTCCAGGCAGCCCGGGCTTCCCAGTAGACAGGATTCACACCTCCCTTCCCACATCTGCTAATAGCAGTAGGTCATGCCAGGGAACAGGAGAAAGCAAGGGCAAAAATCACCGGTAAAATTGCAAAGGGGACGAGTTTCACAGGTGCAAAAGCTGGTCTGTCCTCTGGCATCTCGTACAGCGTGTTCAAACAACCCCACTCCACATCTCAGGAGTTCCCTGCCCTCAGCTGCAGCTCAGAGCTGGCCACCCCACACATGGCAGCGAAGCCTGTGAGGGAGCTTATGTGAACCCAGTAGTTTAATCTCCAGGATGCTCCCACGCCTCTCCTGGGGAGCTGGTTCCTGGGGCTGTGCTTACACATCTGATGGGAACTGGGTAAATGTACCCTCCACGTGTCCTTGCTCCATGTCCTGTCTCTCCTCTTTCCAGGGGAGAGATGGTTTGTCTTCTTTTAGCAGGAGCTAAGTCCCAATTTGTTGGATAGCATTCCATCCCAGCCTCCTTTCCAGGGAAAAGACAGCCCAACCAAAAATTAATATATACTTCCTGCTGGAAGGGTAATAAACACAATAAGGCCTGCACTGCATTAATATGCAAACTGGTAATGAGGTTTTGTAAGTATCAAGTGTCATTTGAAGATTTTAATGAGGCCCAGCAATGTTTCTGAAGCTGTTTTCTCAGTTAATGTTTAACAGGACGACCACAGAGTCAAGGACCAGGAGTTCGATGTAGATCAGCAGAACAATGTATATTGTGTCTGCTTCGAGGTCCTGGCCAGGCAGTATCACTTGCAAAGGCATATGTAAATAACATCCTAGGGCAAGGAAAGCCGTGTGGGAGGGAATTGCCTGCACCTCCAGGCAGCGGAGCAGCAGCCCCTGCTCGTGCCCACGTGTGAAGTGCCCTTTTCCCACACCCTTCATCACCCCCTTTGTCACTTGGGCTTGCTGGTGTGGCACAAAATGGTCCAGAGGGTTTTATTTGGTTTGGTTTTGTTAGTTTTTTCCCATTTTATGGAGCAAACTGCCTCATGGGAGGCTCTGCCAGATGTTGGGGTGCTGGAGCATGTCCAGAGAGGGGCAATGGAGCTGGGGAAGGGTCTGATGAGAAGCAGCTGAGGGAGCTGGAGGGGCTCAGCCTGGAGAAAAGGAGGCTCAGGGGGGACCTTCTGGCTTTCTGAACCTCTCTGACAGGAGAGTGGAGCCAGGTGAGGTCAAGCTCTGCTCCCAGGGAACAAGAGACAGGACAAGAGGAAACAGCCTCAAGTTACACCAGGGGAGGTTTAGGTTGAATATTAGGAAAAATCTCTTCACCAAAATGGGTGGTCAGGCACTGGCACAGCTGCCCAGGGCAGTGGTGGGGTCACCATCCCTGGAGGGATTTAAAAGCCATGTAGATGTGGCAGCTGGGGACATGGTTTAGCAGTGGCCTTGGCAGTGCTGGGGGAGCAGTTGGTCTTGATGATCTTAGAGAGCTTTTCCAACCTAAATGAGTCTGTGATTCTGTGTGAGGAGGGCAGCATGGCTGGGGCAGAAGAGGCTGTGGAACAATAGGTGGTGATTCATTCTCTGCATCCAGAGAACTGGAAAGGGCTCTCTAATGTCTCCCACACCTCTCATCACCAGAAGGTTTCATTTAGGATACACTTCAGGTTCTTCAGACAGAGCAGAATAGATCCTGTTTTTCTCTTGCCCAAGAACACAGCATGTCATGTAACTAATTTAAATAATTTCTTCCTGGTTGAGCCTCATTAGGGACCGAGCATTAAACTGGCCTGATTAGATCGACTAATCGATGCGGGGAAAGGGAAGCTGGTTTCAGCACGCAGGGCAGCAGGGGGGTAGGGCCGGGCTGCTCCACTCCCCGGGGACCACCACTGTCCCCAGCCACCCCACCACAGCCCCCCACCCCACCTCGTGCCCACGCTGTGCCCTCACTGCTGCCCACCACCGTGAGTCCCAGTCACGTGCCAGGGGCAGGGATGGAGACTGAGCGTCCAACCTGCGTCCTTGACCTGTTTTATCTGGGCTCTCCCAGGCGCTGTGCTCCTGTCTTTCCCGTGCACGTGTCCCGTTATCAGCAGAAGGGGACAGGCCCCCTGCAATGGTCCTGGTCCCAGCCTGGTGCCCCTTCCAGTCCCTGCAGGGAAGGGGAGTGGGAGCAGAAGGGTGTGGGGGGCAGTAGGGCCCTGGGGGTTCCTGGTGGGGCTGAGATTCTCTGGGTCCCACAGCTCCCAGCCCTGGCCCTGAGCAGGCAGTGAGGCCTTAGTGGGGCTGCAGCTGCACCCTGAGATGCCCTGTGGCTGCTCTGACCCCTCTGTCCTTCGTTTAACCCCCTGCTCAGCCCCCCCTCAGCTGCACTGCTGGGGATCCCCCTCCCCACGGGCAGGGACAGGACCCTGTGGGTCAGACCAGACATTTCCAACTTCAGGCCCCTTGGACCCCATTCACCCGGCTGGGGCCAGGGCAAGGATTGGGACAGGGACAGGAACAAGGGTCAGGGACAAGGGTCAAGGCAGGGGCTGGGACAGGGGCAGGGAAGTAGCTAGGACAGGGGTAGGGACAAGGGCAGTGCTAGGACAGGGACAGCGGCAGGCACTGGGGGAGGAGCAGGGAAAAGGGCAGGACCAGGAACAAGGGCAGGGAAAGGGGTAGAGAGTGTCAGTAGCAGGGCCAGGGGCAGTAGCAGGGATAGGACAGGACCAGGGACAAGGACAGGGGCAGAGACAAGGACAGGGGCAGGGGCAGTAGTTGGGACAGGGACAGGAACAAGGGTCAGGGAAAGGGGCAGTAGCAGGGACAGTGGCAGTAGCTGGGATAGGGACAGGATCAGGGACAAGGACAGGGGCAGGGACAGGAGCAGGGTCAAGGACATGGACAGCGGCAGAGAGAGGAACAGGGGCAGTAGCCGGGACAGGGACAGGAGCAGGGACACGAACACGGACGGGGACAATCCCCAGGACTGCGCCTGCCGCTCCCTCCGGCCACGCCCCCTTTGACCACGCCCCTTTGTGGGCGTTTCCCGTAACCGTGACGCGCTCGCCCCGCCCCGCGGGGGCGTGTCCCGAGCGCTGCCGTGACGTCAGGGGCGCGGGGTGCGCAGCAGGTGCGGGAGCGCAGGGCGGAGGTACCGGGGGGTCCCTGCGGGGCCGGGCGGGGGGTCCGGGGTGGGACACCGGGACGGGGACACCGGGACGGGGACACCGGGACGGGGACACCGGGACGGGGACACCGGCAGGGCTCGGCTGGGCACGGCCGGGCTCCGCTCGGCTCCGTGCGGGGGGAGCGGGTCCGGGCGCGGGGGTCGCGCTGAGGCTGAGGAGGATGAGGAGGATGAAGAAGAGGATGAGGAGGGCGAGGAGGAAGGCTGGGGGTGAGCGGCGGGAGCCGCCGCACCGCTGGGAGCCCGCGGTGGGTGACAGCGCTGCGGAGGGGTCGGTGCGGGGGGGGGGAACCAGCGAAGCCCCCCGGGCGCTCCCCCCGCCCCAGCCCGGGGGTCCCTCGCTGTGTGCAGCCCCAGCGAGGCGATCGTTGTCCCAGTTTATAGACAATTCCCGGCTGCCGTGGCGGGGTTGGGGGCTGCCAGCCCTGCCCGGTGCGCGGGGAGCTCGGGAGGGCCCGGGCGGGGCTGTTTGTGCAGCTGGGGGGGCAAGGAAGGGCATCCAGAGCAGATGGGCACGGCTCGAGC